GGCAAAGCCCTTCGCCCTAGAGCGCCTGAGCCAGCGCCTTGCTCTCATTTTGGCCCAAAGCTTGGCCACGGGCAAAGCGATTAAAAGCTGCTGCTTTGGGCGCAGGAATGTCTACGAACCAAGCCAGTCTGCCTTTGATCCTTGGTTCCCACAGGTTTGACCAGTTGCTGCCTTTCCTGGTCCTTTGGAAGGTGTTGCATTTTGGAAATCCAACGCGAGCTGCTGCATCTCGCTGATTCGCTCAAAGGCTCGCAGATGCTGGCTCGATTCAAACTCAGCAAGCAATGCTAACCTAGCACAGCCGACAGGCGTTTGGCTTTAACAGAGAAGACAGGGCTTTGGGATGGCGATTCTGACATGTCTGGAGAAAGGATCTGTTGATTCAGCTTGGCGCATGAATAGGCATGGAACGTGATTGGCTTGAGCAAACGTGGGGTGCTTCCAGCTCTTGGCCGAAGCACTTGGTCATGGTGCTATGCCCTCCAATGTTGAGTTGAGCGAAATTCCAGGGTGAGCGCCTCAGATGAGAGCGGAGCCACTGCTAAAAGCTGCATCCAGGCCGGGCCCCTTGTCAGAAGGCAAACGTGTTTTCAAGACAGAAATGAAGCTTAACTAGGGGACCTCGTTTCGGGTGTTTGGTAAACCAACCACCTGGCAGGCGCCCCTGATTTTCAATAGCTCCGTGCTGGTTGTGCGCCAAAAAGGAAAGCCTGCTTCTCCAGTCGTGAACGCTTCCGGCTTTTCATGAGACCTGCAAACATGTGTCCCGTTTCGGTTTACATCTTCCATGTGGCCTTTGAAGGGGGGTCAGACTCTGGTTTGGGCGGATCAACCTACGATGTGGCAACTTGGCGTCATGCTGAAAGTTCTATAAGATGTTCTTTCCTTTGGAATGCTCATCAGCAACCTAGGGTTGGCTGCAAGGTGGGCATGTTGACGCAACGGACCAGAGATGTTCACGAAGGAGGGAAAGGGGGCGGCGCCCTGTTATGTTGGATATGTCTTACGGATCACTGGGGGCTAGCCGACTGATTGTTCTTCAACCATACCGTCGCCCGCACCTTTTGTTTGCTTCCAGGAACCAGTCCTTCATGAGCGCGCGCTCTAGCGAAAGCTTCACTGAGCCTGACATCGAGGCCGGCGCGGGGATGACGCGCCCCGGCAGATGTGTTTGCCCCTTGCAACAGGGAAAGGCAATGAAAGATGTAGGACGTCCTTTCCCCACTGTTTTGCACTGTGCTTCTTGAAGGCTGGCCCGTTCAACATGAAATGGCAAGAATAAAAGGCCGGTTAGTTGTTTGTGCCTACGCCCCGGAAACCGGCGTGGCGTTTCATAATTTTTCGTTTGCCCACCAAGCACATGGTTTTCCATCGCTAAATGGCTCTTGATGAATCCTGGTCAACTCCATAGACCTGGTGAACTAGTTGGGATCCTTAAGCAGGAGGATTCTTCACCGAGCCACAAAACGGAGTTTTTTACACGCCAACCCGCCCACGCTCTCCGCTGCAGGCCTGTGTTATTTGACATGGCCCACGCTCTCCGTCGTGCGCCTGAGTATACATGCGTGGCACATGGTAAGCACGCTCGCCCACGCTCTCCGTCGTACGCCCGAGTGCGTGCCTGTCACATGGTAAGTCTCCGTGGCACGCCTGAGTACAAGCACACCCGCCTGCACTGTCCGTCGTACGCCTGCGCACATTCCTACCCCCAGGCTCTCCATCGTCCGCCTGAGTACATGCCTGGCACATTGGGACATTGCAAGCACACCCGCCCACCGTTCTCCGTCGTGCGCCTGAGCACATGCCTGGCACATACTAAGTGCACACGTCCACGCTCTCCGCCGGAGTATATCGACGGCCTATTGTGTCGGCTCTGGCTGTTTGTGATGTGTGTGTGTGTGTGTTTAGTGGCACCCGCGCAAGACCACAGCAGCAGTCATGGCGCCCGGAGATGACCACAGCCCCCAAAGCACTTACAAAGAACACGTTTACAGGCTTGCGTGTGTCGCTGAGGCAAGATGCACATGCTTGTTCTAAAGCCAGGAAATTCTCGTGACGGAAATTTTGTTATTTTTGCTTGAATTCTTGTGTTTTGCCTCAGCGAAACGCACGTTTTGGTGAATCACACTGGAGCATCGCACACGTTCTGACGGGGGCGTATTGTCGTAAGTGCAGAAACCTAAGCGCCGCGCACGTTTCGATGCAGCATGAACGCGGTGAAGTCCAATCTTGCCGCGCTGGTGTTCAGTTTGCGATGGCAACTGTTCAGTGCGGAAGGGGGCAGCCAAGAGGTTATTATATTGATGACAAGGGACACCAGGAAAAGGTTGATCTCAAACAACCAGCATGGAACCCGACAATGGCTTTCACACGGACCGCCTGTTTGTGGATAATGTTGGGTCCGGGATTTCGTTTAGACATGGTGAAGCACGTCGGATGGTCACAATGTTGCCATTTACATCCATTTTCCAGATACGTGTTTGCAAGCGTTACCCTTTCAGAAATAGGTCGGGCACTGACAACGCGACCATGGGTGAAGGGCACTCTGTGCAAGTGCGTGTCGTACGAGGGTCTGCGGTGAGGACGTGCTGCGAGGTGTCAAACACAAGGCCACAAACGGATTGTTGGTCAAAAACGAGGCGAATTTGATTAATCATAGTGAAAGAACAGCAGCACAGACAATCGACAATCCGCATAAGCTCTGTAAAAGTCTCAAGTCATGTTGTGAAGGCAATCCGTCCTTTTAGGGAGAGTGTTGGAGCCCGATAGACATTTTCTGCCGTTGGCCTGCAACCCTAGAGGCCTTTGCCAGGCGTACACCAATCGCCCTGCGGCTCTTTCGTTGTGTCGGGTCCCTTTGACACGAGGAAGGCAAACATGCTAAACATGCTAGCAGGACGCAGCAAGCACTAACGCGACCATGTCAAGAAGACAAACGCGATCAGCAATGGATATTTGTACTCGAGTCAGCCAAAATTCCTCGATGCCGGCAAGTAAACTGGGTAAATGCAGGCGTGGGGATATTGCCCACCAGAGGCGGCTTCCCACAGGTAAGTCTTCACATGGCTTGAAGTTTGTTTCTACCGGGTTTTGCCTTGGGCCGCTGATTTGCACAATATACCCACACTCATTTGGGCGTTGATCAATGCTGTCCCCCAAAACCAGCAACTGATCCCGTTTCGTGGAGAATCTCAGGTGATTCCCCCATGGTCATCCCGTGTAAAAGGAGCCTTTGGTCGACCCCCAACTTTTTCCCCTGGTGGCTTCCTGTAGACCAGCCTGTTCCTGCTAGGCCATGCAGCATGCCATGCGCCGCGGGGTTTGCAGCGCACTCGGTGCTGTGACTTTGCCTTAGGCCCTGCAAAACTCACATAGCTGCAAGCCGACCTTTTGATCTGCTGGTTTCCCTGCTTTGGACCATTTTTGCTGGCCCCAAAAGGTGAACCTTGCATTTGTGGGTCCTTTGGGCAACTGCGGAATGCCCCTGAAATGCCGGTGCGTTAAGGGGGACCTGAAAACCCTCGATTGGCTTTGAGACAATGCAGGGTATCAAATATCCCGCTGCTATCTTGGAGGATCCAATTTCCTTTGCGACACGATGATGAGGAGGATGATGGTGGTGATGGTAATGGTGGTGATGGTAATGGTGGTGATGGTAATGGTGGTGATGGTAATGGTGGTGATGCTGGTGAGGTGTAGGAGGAGGAGGACGGAGGAGGCTGATGATGATGGAAGGACGAGGATAGTGCTGAGCAACTTCAGAATGAAGATGGGATTGTGCTAAGACCAGTGGCAGCTGTTCCAATTCTTGTCTTGTCATGCTGTGAGAAGTACGATGCTGCCAAACGTGGCATTGCCTAAGTTTCGAGATTCTATTGAGAGATGGAGAGAGCGAGAGAGAGAGAGAGAGAGAGAGAGAGAGAGAGAGAGATAGAGAGAGTGAGGGAGAGAGAGAGAGAGAGAGAGATACAGAGAGAGAGAGAAAGAAAGAGAGAGCGAAAGAGAGAGACTTGCAGAGCCCCGCACGAGGCACCGAGTACATGTCAGCAGGCCGGCTTGCGTTGTTTTTCGTTGAAACTGTGCCGCTGAGACTTATCTCATTGAACAATATGCGCGAGGCCTGTTCTTTACCGGGCCCTTCTTCCTTTTTGGATGTTGCTTGCTACTATGCGGCTACCTGGCGCCGCAGTGCCGGACTTAAGCGCAGCGACACATGGCGTGTTGTGTATTTCCTAGTTTCTAAAAAAGCCATGAACTGAGGGGGTGCAATCAAGCAATGGCAAGCTCTTTGCTGGGCTTGGGAGTTGTGCTTCTTGGTTGCAAGCGAGCAGCGGGTCACTTCAGTTGCAAGCAGTTTCTGACGTCTTTTTGGGGCAAGAACATGGAGGTAAGGGAGCAACCAGTGCAGACTTGTCAAGGGGGCTTTTCTTTGGGGGACTTTTCCCGTTTTTCTGTGGGACACGTTCCTGGATTTTACCTTATCTGGATTCTTAGCTTCTTGGCTTTTTGGCCGCTTCTTGGAGTCTGGGCTTTTTGGCTTCGCTTCTTTGATGGCTTCTTTTGTTTTTGTTTGTTTATCGAGGAATTCAGGCTGGCTTTTTGGCTTTTGGCGAGTTGTGCAAGTTTTCGTGACTTGTTGTTGTTCGGTTTTCCATCATCAGAAACACCCCAGCATCACCGGCTTTTGGCTTTTGGATTTTTGGTGGGTGGCTTCTTGGCTCCCAGGTTTCTGTTCACCGTTTGGCCCCAAAACCACCCCAAACCCTAAACTGCCACTAAAACTAGAACCCTAAAGAAACCTTAAACCATCGAGATTCCCTAGAGAACCCCTAAACAAACCCACTCGAAACCAGCAATAGACAATCGCCAAACCGGCTCTAAACCTACCCAAAACCACCGCACTAAACAAGCACAACACCGTCTCTAATAAGGCCTAAGCCACCCTGAACCTACCCTAAACCACCCTACGCCCACCTAAACACAACCACAGCCTGCACCAACTCTAAACCCACCCTAAACCAGCCCTAAACCTAAACCAACCCCAAGAAGCCCACCACAAACCAGCACTAAACCATCCCGGTACCAAAAGCGCAGCCCCCCCCCCCAAACTTGCCCTAAAGAAGCCTGGAGCCCACCCTGAACCAACCAACCTAGGCCAACCCTGAAACCCACCCTAAACCCAGCCTAACAAAGCCAACTCGTGATGCTGAGGATGTTGAAAAGGATGCTGCCGAGTTAAAAGGATGCCGGGGATGTTGACAACGCTGGTGCAAAGCGAGTCAAAACCAGAGCAGAACCAAGGGAGATCGCACCTGCCGGTTTCAAGAAATCTACGAAAATGTCCAAAACAAAACGGGACAAATTCACAAGAACAATCCGGACCCCTTGTCAAGAAGCAACGGGCCGCATTTTGTGAATTCTGCAAACTGACTCAAGCAGTTTCGTTGTTTCTTGTTCAAAGTGCTTGTGCAGAAATAGTACTGTGTTTGTGTGTTTGAATTAGCTGGCAGCGGATGTAAAGCCAATAGAAAGTGCAAGCTGCCCTGGTGTCCGATTTCTACTTTTTGGTGCTTTGACATACACGCTCTCAAAGGTCAGCCAAGCGCGAACCATGCTGGAGAGTTTCCATTGGGGTCCATTGGTGGCGTCGGTGCGTTAGCGCTATTGGTGCCGCTCTGGCGAAAGGATGTTTCTGGAATCGAGGCATATTGGGCTGAGCTTTCTCAGCAGCCTGATCGTCATCTACTTCGCCTTGCAGGCATCGACACTTCCTGTTTTGGGCTGAGCCTTGTAGGAGACCCATAGGCTTCAACACATTCGGGGGCATCCAGAGTTGTTCGGCCCCAGTAAAGGGCCCTGGAGACGTTTTGTGGCACCTTCAATCCTTTGGTGCCGGGCTTCGACGCGCATGATGTTCAAGGGAACCCGGTTCAACACACCCATCCATTGTTGTCATATGACGTTCCCTTTCTATGATTCTTTGGTTGCATTTCCGTGCAACACCCCAAATGGGCATATTCCGAAATGTGCTTGTTGCGAGGAACAGGCGCCGCGCTCTTCCCCACTCTCTGCAACGATCTCGTCGGCTTTTGCCCATTTCTCCCATGCCTTACCCCGCCATGCACCTGTATGTGAGTAGCCGGCGTGGATCTTAGCAGCTTTCAAGGAGTTCCGCGGCACTCCTGTGTGTCTCCCTTGGATTCTCCTCATGACTTTTGTGGGTCAAAGGTTTTCGTCCCAAAATCGGGGCAATTGCCCCAAGCAGCGAGTAGCAAAATGGATCCCTTGAAGCAAAATGGGGCGGGGAAATGAGATGAAACCTCGCTGGTTGGTTTCACATGTCCGACACTTTGACTCCAGGTCGCGAAGGTGGTGTCGCTCCGTTTCGCCGCCTTCAAGTACAAGGACTCTGGTTTGTGCTTTCCAGGCATTCTGAAAGGGGTTCTTCACCTTTTAGGGGGGTTATGTTTAAATTTCTGCGGCAGCTGATGAATCCGGAGCCTGCGAGAATTACAAGGAGATTGGGCTACCTTTTAGCAGTTTCTCGTTCTGGATACTGGAAAGTCAGGTTGCATCTGACCAGTTTTGATCAGGCAGGTGGTTTTACCAAGCAAGATATCCATTCTCCAGAAGTTGTCTCATCAGCAGGAGCAACAATGACCAGGTTGGGCCAGCGAGGCCTTTTCTGAAGACTTGAGACTCGAGACATTCCCTGCCACATTGCGTGTTTATATCTCTCACCAAATCGAGCCAACCACCTCCTACCAAGTAGACAACCGAATCCTGTCTTTTCCTTGTTCCCCTACTTTCCAGCATCCATCAACAAGACAAAATGCTCAAGCACCTAGCTACGTGATGGCCTTCGGGCTTATATTCCCATTCAGCGGTGGCCGGAGACAAAAAAGACGGCCAGGGCGTCCTTTTCCTTTCCGAAACCACTACAAAACGCGATCCTCAAAGAAAATTCGGGTCCAGGGCTGAGGTCCGGCGCAACCTTGCGCAAACATCCATCCGCGCTGGAAGAGCTGAGAGCGACCAAGCCACCGTCTTTTGTACCGCGGCTTAATGAAAATTCGGCTTTTGGGGAGCTCGACCCGGTTGTTTACTTAGTCTCATGCTCCCTCTTCAAACATGAGGCAGCAGGAATGTACTTGGACCTGGAGGCTTGCCAACACCACCCCTCTCCCAGTTCGCTGATCCAATCCCTGGCATGGGTAACCTTCCTCTGATTTGGGTTTCAGTTCGGGAAGGCTGCAACTGGAATATCGGGATATCCAAGTAACGGTTCCACCCGCACTTGACTGAGTCACGAAGGTCAGCGGGAACCGTGCAGAGACACCAACCCCTTTGTCCAAGAACACGCAGAATGGAATAATTATTATGCACCATCCATAAAGATGTTGATTGTGTTCCGATGTTTCTTTTGATATTTTTAGGACATATCATATCTGAACAACCCATTCTTGCGCGAAAAAAGCCTCGCCTCAGGAGCAGCAGCGCCTGCAGGAGAGTGAAGAGGTCGAGCAACTGTCCAACAGAGCCCAAGCCAGGCACCGTGGTCTCATCGGGGTTCGTGGAAAATGGAAAGGACGCCGCAAACGGTGCGGGTTCCTTATTTTGAGACAGCCCCATGTTTGCTTCTTCTTTTCTTTTGGTTCAACATAGCAATTTGAGCCAAAGTGCAGAGAGATTCCTTGTGGTGGGGTGATGTCTCAAGGGGAAGCGTCGGGAACCCTGCTTTATCGGGTCGTGTGTTGGAAAAGCAGCCTCCAAGGCTAGGTGCAACATCCTCAAATCCCCTTGTTGAATCGGATGCCAGCCCGAAAAGAGAGGGGGTGCTTTTAAGGAAAGCCTTGGATTCAGAACCTCCAAATATCCCTTAATGCCCAAGCAACACTGCGCAGTTTTGGTGTGGATTTCAGGGTTCCCAGGCCTGTGTGGTTTCAGGGTGATTGCTTCTTGGGTCATGTCAGGCTTCCTGCAGTGCGTTCCTGCGCGGCGCTTCTCATCGCCATGTTCGTGGTGCTGGACATTGCTCTCTGGATTTGGGGCGTCTCGGCCGAGCCTGCGCCCAAAGGGCGAAGATTGGGAGTCGGAAGAACTACTTGGATCAAGGTCCGGTTAAAGAGCAGCTTTGTCATTTTCATGGGAGAGTCCAGGCTGAATGTGCGATGTTCAACAAATGCTTGATCACAGTTGCTCCGCTGACTAGCAAATCCCTGAGGTTGGCCCGTGCCGTCAGTGTTGAACGTGTGATGGCCAGCATCAGGGGCGGAACAAATTTGGCATGCGATACTTCTTTGCAGTCTCATGGACAGCTGCTGCATTTCCGGGCATTAGAAGTCTTCCGTAGCGTCCGCATCCGTCGCAGATGTAGAACCATCGGGTCCAACTCGCGACTCACCTCGCAAGCACATGGGGGCCGTCCTGTATTTGGGCAATTTGTTGGTTGTGCGTGATTGGTCAAACCTGCATCGCGAAAGGCCGGCGATTGGGCCGCGATTGGGACAACAACTAATTTGCTTATAAGATGTGAAGAAGTTACCAAGTTTGCTCTGCGATTGGCCCCGCTGCAGTCGCGATTGGAGCGCGAAAGGCCGGCGATTGGAGGGTTTTCAGGAGAAGTAATATTGGATAACCCCCACATGAACTATGCAAAGCCGACTCTTGGTTGCAAGACATTGCGCAGATTCTTCCTGGAGCCGCACCTAACAGCACATGCCGGGTTTTTGGAGTCTTTACGTCTTCCGTGTTGAACCCGATCCATCGCAGACTTTGGCTGAAATGTTGATACAATTTGCCACGTTCTAAAAGCTGGACATGGGGAACTGGGGAGCTGGACTGGGGTACCAAATGCGAAAGACCTCCGCTAGGGACATTACTTGCCCCCACCGTGTCTTTTGTAGGGATCCTCCTACTGTCCTCGAACCACCGGGGCTACAGTTTGTGTTTCTTTCTGATTTTGTTTGGGGGCGAGGCGGGCACTGGAAACGAACAAGAAGAAGCTACACCGATACCTCTTTCTATGCGTCTCCAAGCATTCTGAAACAGATTGTTTGTAGTGTTTATTGAAATGAAGGGACGCCATACATTAGGTTCATTCCAATTGGACACATTCAACTTGTCCATTTCCCGAAAACATCTCGGACGCCACCTCGCGTGCCTTTCCACTTTTGCTTGGAGGCATAATGGGGGCCGCGAGCTCCAAGAGTTGCGGATGGGCCACTGGCGCCTTCTGGTGCCACTCGAATCCATGGGCGCGGGTTCGATCTCGTTTTCTTTGGATGGGCCATTCAGGCTTTTGTTGGTTTGAATGGAGACAAATATTTGCTTAGGAGCCTGCAGACAGGAATCTCATGTTGAACGCCACAGGCACCACGTGGCTTGCTAGGCGTCCAGTGATGTGCCCCAGTTTCTGCGTATCCTGGCTGAGTATTTCAGTGGGTATCCCCATTCCACAGTCAGTGGCAGTGGAGATCCGTTGGCGTCTCGATATTGCGGTGGTCTCCCTGAATGCTTGTGAACCCAGTGTGTCAATGTTCAGCCGGTTGGCCCAGTCTGTTTTCGCAGTTTCGGGCTCTGGTGTCCCAGTGTGTTTGGAGTTCCAGCGCTCTTCGCATGGGTGTCCGGTGTACCGATGGTCTGGCCTGGTTGGTTTTGATTACCGCACCGCAATGATTGGTCGGCGAGCTTGCGGACTCCCGGGTGTCCTACTGTTCCGTGTCCAGGTGCAGACAGAGTTCACCAGGTTTTGCCACTTTCGGACCCAGCTCAAAGTTTGCATTTAGCATATGAATGAACCCGGAAGCCAAGGAGATGTGCGGTTCTGCTGCATGGAGAGTCTGTTGGCCAACTGTTCCGCCATGACTCCCAGGTGCTTTGAAACTAGTGTGAAGACAGCCCCGATCGGACACCTCTAACCCAAGCATCCTTTCCTGGGGGTCCATTTCGGATGTTTGATTGGCGAATGTTGATAAATTCAATGCTGTAACATGCTGACAGTTGGCCCCAGTTCTTCCAGCTGTAAGCCGCTATGAGGTGGCTTTAACGTAACCAGCGAAAGTGGGCCTCTTCCGAGTTTTGAGGCTTGTGCGTGGTCTCCTTCTCTTCACTGATTGTGGCCGGCTTGGTGGTCTTCAAGTATTACGACATGATCGAGCTCCGGTGAAAAATGTGCTTCCTGCAGCTTAAGCCGTTGTTGGCTGATTTGAAGGGCGTAAACACAAATTTTGGTGTGGCCGGTGACTTGGATGGCCCACTTGTGTTTGCCAGGCGTCCAAAAAAGCGTAATTTGTGATCATATCTTCACATGGTTGAGGTTGCTGCTTAGGAAGTGGGGCTGGCAAGAGTGCATCGGATCCTTTTGCCCCTTTGCCTTGTCTTGAAACCGCCCAGGATGTGTTGGCTTTTAAGCACTCAAGTGGTCTCAGCCGATATCAGCCACCAGGCGTGCACGTCAATCCACACAAAATGCGACCCGCAAAGCCTTCATTTGTGGCTGGAACGTCATGTTGGAGCAACTCTTTTGGGCAACTGCACGGAATGCAATGAAGGCCACATGGGAATGTCCGACAGCTTCACTTAGGACCATCAGACCCTAAGACAAAGAGAGACACACCTTTACCTTCCACAGCCATTCCACATGGATGCGTTGCTCTCTCCACAGAGATGGAAACACCCCCAACCTCAAACAAAACGATCTTCAGTCACTGGAAGATGACTGAAGTTGAGGTTTTGATTTCACCTTTCGACTTCTGGGCTTGTTGCCCCTTTGGGAAGCCGGACGGGATGGCCCAAAGATGGCCTCGGATCAAAGCCGCCTCGGACCGCTGGCGCTGGCGGTCCTCACGCGGCTCGGGCTTGAAATATCCCGCGAGGTCTGAGGCGAAAGATGTTCCGGGAAAGGGAGGAATCGAGATGGGATGTTTTGGATGTTTTGTTCATATCAGACATATTTTTCTTTGGGACACCTGGCTTCCCCAGATTTGTCTTCGGCAGGTCTGGCTTCTCCTAGGTGTCGGGAGTTCGGAAAAAGGATTTGAAGCGTTTTGAATGGAGTGAGAAAACCAAAGACTTTTGGGTCTCCCGAGTTTTAGTTGAGATATGAAAATTAGAGACTGTGATACCGGGATGAGATGTTTCGGGTATGTTCTGTTTCTAAATCGGGGGGCCTGTCCGCATTGGCCTTGCCATTTTGACAACTCCTTTTCTTTTCCAAGAGACAGACCCCGTACCTTGAAGAAAGCATCCTTATCCATCAACAGAAAGCAGATATGTAGTTGAGAACCAGGAAATTGGCGGCTTTCTTTTGGTTTCCCTTCAACCACCAAGCTGACATGACGCAGGTCTGATGGACATAGTTCTTTTTTGCCTGTGGATCTGTCGCAAGGAACTGTCCGTGGCGCTCTCGGTTGCCTTGACAAAGGGTTTTGAAGGGACACGTCCTGGAGGTTCCGCTTCCATGTGGAGTCAGCCGGCATGGATACACACTTCCGCCCTGGACAACAACGAATTTTGAGAGTTTCCTTGTTTGGGGCAGGGAGGTATTGATCATACCCAGTGATTCTATGTTCCGTTTGAAGTAGACAGACGAGGAACCACCCTTCAACGCAAAAAGGCACAACATGGCTGGTGACATCCTTTTGCTCGGCTTCAGCTTGATTTGGCTGTTTCGCCAAGTTGGCGAGCCCGTTTTTGTTGCTGGGTTTTTGCGTTTTCCTGAGAGCCCTTTGTGGTGAGCATAGCCCAAAAGGAATGTTGGCCAATCTATTCCCGGTTTGCGAGGCTACAATAGTGGGGCCCCACAAGCATTCTGGATTGCAATCCAAACAATGGTGTTTGGGCCCGGATGGTTCTGACTTGGGATTCATTCCCAACCCAAACCGTGAAAACCAGGCAAGCCATTCCGCCTCATTCCTCAGGTTGCTGTGCCAGAGCCAGGCAGGCCGTGCTTTTATATCTGTTAGCTGGTATTTTGGGCATAATTACATTTGTCAAATATTTGGGCTGACAAATGACATCCTAGAACCCATGTGCTAGATTCCATTCAGCGCGCCACCCAATTGAACACCAGGGGTGCCCCACGGAGCTGGCTGGAGCAGTCTTGCTGCCTCACTCCTTTTGCAGCCGCCCGGTATTTAGGTTGATGTTGTTTTGCTGGTTCTCACTGCCGCTTCCTTGTAAATGGTGGTTGAACTTAGCCAAATATGCAGTTGAGCTGCTCGGTTACGATGAATCTGCTGAATTGGCCTCGTCTGCTTGGAACTTCCGGGGCGGCCTCGCCTTTTCTGCCGCCCTGGAGCATGTAGGGGACTATCCTCAAGGAGCCCGGTAGGAGAAGATGGCGCAATCCATCTTCTCCAACACTACAACACCATGTGCGTCCACTTTTCAAGCGGATGCACAAGAATCACCTTGACTCCATCCTTGGTCGGACAACTTTGTACCATGAAGCAGGGTTGCTCCGAACCTCCAGACAATTAACGAACAGGGGCAACGTTCTACCCTGGGAGCAAAGGTTCAACCAACAAAGGAACGCCTCAGGAAGTCTCTGAGACCTCAAGCAACCCTCAATTGGTGATTTGGATTGGTGGTTTCGATTTGGATTTGAACCCCTTGAAGAGGGTAAAGCAAAAGCCGCTCAACCTGAGAGGGAAGCTGAAGACACTTTGGATTTTTTCCACCAACAAAACCATCGACTCCTTTGCTAGCTGCGGTTTCCGCCGGAAAAAGGCGACTCCTTTGACAATTCCACTAGCAAACAAATCGACACCATCGAGGCGCCCCGTGGGTTTTCTTTGGCAGAGCTCCTTAAAAGATACATTTTGCACAATTTGCAACATGGCTTTTTTCACCAAAATAAAGGGGAAACTACCGCTTACAAGGCAATGTTCCTCTGGAGGATTTTCATTGAAGATGATCACTAGTTGTTGTTTCCCATGTCCTAAGATGAACACACTTGCAAGGTGTATGCATCCGGATCCCTTGGTCTCCCAGGGCTCCATCCACGTGTTGCGGGTCTCCGCTGGCGGGCGACAGCCGCTGGTCCAGCGCCTGGCGCGGGCGCAGCAGAGATGCCCCAGGTTTCGGGTGGTGGACGTGGGGGCGGCTATGAACCCCTGGACTCTCAAGGCGAAGCGGTGAGTCATGAGTCATGATTTGTTTCTAAGTGGTTCTTGTGTTTCTTGAAATGTTATGTTGGTTGGTTACTTAGTTTGTTTGTTGTTTCTTTGTGTCTTTGTTTGTTTGTTTGTTTGTTTGTTTGTTTGCTTGTTTGTTTGTTTGTTTGTTTGTTTGTTTGTTTGTGTGTTTGTGTGTTTGTTTGTTGGTGGGTCGGTTGGTGAAGCAACTTGCGCCAGTTCTGGGTGCGAGGTCCTGAACGCCGTGGTAGACAGGACGCCCCAGGCGTCGGCGGGGAGGGATTGGTTCACCGGCGCCCACTTCGGAAACCGACCCGTGTTGGTGTGGCGAACCTTTGAAAGCGGTCCAAATGGGGCGACCTCGGCCGCCTTCATTCATCTTTAATGTACTCCCAGCTCAGCTCATCCTGTTTATGTTGTAGATGTTTGTCGTTTTCTTTACTACTGTGGTCACTGGGACCTTTTAAGGCCTTAACTCATCAATTCAATGTGTCCTGTCAAGAGATCTATGGCAACTGGTTTCTTCGTCACGTGTCGCCCGGCCAACTGTGAGGGTAGCAGGGACAGCGAAGCGCCTGGGACTGGCATCTAAGGGTGGAAGCACATACCCCTTGTTCATACCCCTTGGCTTCCCTGGTTTCACTCACTTTCTAGGGGGTATATAGCCCTTTTGGGGAGAGGGGTATGGACATCAGCAGGCCTTTGGGTTCATTTTCACAAGGGGTATGTAACAGGGGTATGTACAAGCACCCCTGGAGGGCAGCCTGACGAACCCCCTAAAGAACGCCTTGCCAAATGAAGGGGTTGCCTCCTGTTGGGTCCCGAGCCCCTTGACAACAAGCACAAAACACTGGAACCACCGAAAGGACTGATTATCTTTATGGACCACTTGAGCTCTTGTTGGCTGGGGGGCTTCCCATCTTTGGAGCAGGTGGTGGAAGACTGCTTCCAGCAGCCCTGGTTCTCTGCCGCAGCAGCCCGTTTCTGCTGCCGATCAGGGCCTCACACCTGGCTGCAAGCCAACAACGTCACCTGTGGCTGAGCCCATGTTTGGCAAGGGTTGAGCAACATGTTTATAGTCCTGTAAGCATGGTTCTGCAAGGGGTTTGCCCAACACTGTGTTTGTCTTTTGCATAAAGCTTGTTCTTGCTGAGATTCAGGGATTAAATCTGCGGCTTGTCTCTTTGGCCCTCAGTTGAGGTTTCACCAAGGACTTCGACTTTGAGAGATGTTGCCGGAATGGGGAGCCTCATCAGTTGCTCCACTTCGCCATGGATGTGAATAAGGAATCGGCCTGGGACCCCTTGCTGCACCATGTGGAGGTTGGGAGCCAAACCATAGCGGTATACACTTCCCCCATTTTGTTCTGCCCCGGTTTTCAGAGAAGTGCCCCAAAATCCATAGGAGCTGGCAGTTCTTTAGTATCGATGGGATCAACCCTGGAAAAATGGAGGATACCTTTCCGGTGGACCCGCTTCGATGTGTTCATTTAGTTTCTGGAAATCGTGGTTTGAGAGCCTGAAACAAGCCCATGGACTTGGGCAGAAGTCATCTTAAGTCCATCTGTGGGTTTGCTCAAGAACCGGGTGTATCTGAGTCAGCTTCAAAATTACCGTCATAGACTTTATGTAGGAGTGTTTCATGCACATGTTTTTTTGTTTTTTCTGAAAGAACACTACGGAACGTCCAAAAAAAAACAATGCCCCCAAGTAGTTTTGGCGCTGACTCACATACCTTTGGTGGCTTGAAATGGACCAACAGGTGGCCGGGAAGTTCGAGTTTGCCGTTGCCTCCCACATCCTGGAGGATCGAATCCAAGTCGGAGCGAAGACTTTCACCCCAAATTGGGATATTTTCTCTT